TGGGAATATGGAAGCGTGAGTAGAGCCGTATGCCACCGAGCAATCAGCCTTTTCACTATCTAATTCAAAGCACGCAGGGCCACAAACTGAGAATTTCCGGTTTGGCAGGTGGCCTACGTGGCCAAGCGAGGCTGGAATTCTTGGAGTCAGCTTTCGGAAAGAAATTCCCGTCGTCAAGGGGTTAAGTACAAAATTTGCTGACTTGCAAAAAGTTGCTCAGAAACAAAGGGTACCAGCTAAAACTCTGTTTGATTGTCATGCCAGCCATAAAACATGTACATTAAATAACATTCCAAAACAATGTACATTACAATGGAGTTGTGATTGGTGATCAGTGCATATACATGTACAATGTACATGCACCAGTACGACTCTGACTTGTGATGAATTATGCATGCACAACGCGAACACATAAATGTGGATGGGTGAAGTCTGCTTTCTAGACTTCATATTCCTGTGCCCATGTTTTTTCGATATTCTAGATCCTATGTCAGGTCAAGGAACCAGACTAGCTACAACTAAATTGAGTGTTACTAGTCTTGGATTCAAGATGCTTTTCGCGGTGCTGCAGTCTGTTATTGTATGCTATGTGCAGTGTACTTGCACTTTACAAGGCAATACACAGTGGCCGCTACCGTTATGTGATGGTTCGTGTCGCAGAATAAAAGCGAATTTGTTTGTTGGACCATACCAAATATCTGTCTGCGAGTATGGATACCATTGTATTTCAATGGCTGTTACAGAATTTCAAGGATTTTATCGAGTACGAGTACTTTGATACTTGAGTACAATTTTATTTTGAGTATTTTGCAGCCCGAGTACAAGAACTGTTGTTCGAGTACGAGTACATGGAAATTTGAGTGCAAGTATTAGACATAAGTGCTCTAAAAATGGTACTCGAGTAATACTCAAGTACGAGTACTGCTAAAAGGTATCCAAGTGCTCCAAATTCAATCTTGGATGCCAGTGACACAAAGACCAGACAGCGGGGGATTTCTTCCCAAAGTTGAAAAGCCACTCAGTTGTTGTAAATGTGGTATTCTTGGTCTCTATTTTCCTCACTGAGAAGCCCAGTTTCTCTCAACTGCACTGCCAACTAATAATCCTATTCTGTGTGGTTATTCTACCTCCCTCTCGGTCCTTTTCCAGACGCACACAAACCCCACATTTTACCAGGCCAAGGGGACCGCCAGGCTCCTCCCCCTTCCCAAAGAGGTATGGCAGAGTCTGGAGCATGGAGACCGGATATCGTTGACCCCTGATCAGCATGTCTATGAGGTGGTTATTGACGAGAGACCCTACCATAAAGGCTCCCAAAGCTTAGGGTAAGGGATCAACATGAAACAGAAATGACAGTCCAAAATTTCTCAGCCTGCAATAGGCATTGTTCTAAACATACCGGTAGATGTACCCGTGTTTTAGTTTGAGCTGAAAAAATTGGATTCTTCTGGGTTTTTTAGAAATAAACAAGTAAAACGACGTAAAGTTCTCAATAAACAAACATGTTCTTTAAAGTAAGTGAAGATGCAGGAAGGAATGTTGAATCAGGCTATTTACTGGAATTTTTATTGTGCACAAGTGCTATATTGAAAAGCTGCACTGAATTCTGTACACGGTTTATCTCTTTATATATGTAGTTCCATAACTGATTCCCCTGTAAAGGAGTCCCCGGTGAAGGAGTCCCCACAGAAAATGGAGAAGCACACTGAGGATGCAGAGGACGACCGAGGACGGCGGGAAAACAATAGAAAGGAAATTGTAACAGGTGAACAAAAGATTTCAGAAAACTATCCTTGGTAATTATAAACAGTTTTGATATTGATGTGTGTTGTTCTACAGTCAGTGAAATGTTTTCACTTAAGGGAAAATTAGGTGCAGATTAAAGTGAACCAATGCCATAAACCTTGACTCCACTCCATTCCTATGTTGATTTTTACATAATGAGGAATTTGTATTAGAATACAATGTAGTGTAAGGTTTTGTCTTTCAAAGTGTGTCTCCTCATACTTCTTGAGAAATATTTTGTAAACTGTTTTATTAGATGTGACTCTGTGGAGTGAAACAAATACCACAGGTGCCAAAGACTAACTTGCTATAGATATTTGTTGTGTTTCTGCACTAGTTGCTGTTTGTGTGGAAATTTTTCGGTATTTTGGAATTTGTAATCCTAAATCAAAAGTGAACTGAGCCATTTCTTCACTGTCCTGCATCATGTCTCGGAATTTATACCTGAATCCATCAAGCAGTCTCTGAATGGCCTACATGATTTTACATGCATATGTAATCATATATCCCTTCTTTCGGCCCTACAAGGTGTGGATGAAAAGAATCAGTTGAACAGTACCGATGGCAGGACAAAGAAGATCAAGTCAGATGAGGACAAGGAACGAGACGGAACTGAAGACCACGAAAAAGATGATGCCGAGGAGAAACAGGATGCCGGACCTCCATCTACACAGATACAGGTGAGCGATAATACTTGACAGGGATGAGGTTCAACATTCTTCATGTCAGTGCCGAAGTTGTTTTCTTCAGCAAATAGTGATACTTCTGAAAGCTGAGACGTCTGTATCTGTGCAGAGCAATCTTGGCCATGAGCCAGCTGAAGAAACCCTTATGGTGCCTCTCTTTTATTTAACGTGGTAACTGTTTGGTTGTGCAAATTTGTGTGTTATCTCGCAGTGTCTACGCAGGGGCACATTTACAGTCAATGGTGCAGGGGCTGCCGGATCTTGTTTTGGGAGAAATTGGCACTCGGTACATGTTGACTTTTACAATGATCTCGTTTTCTTTCAATATATTCTCCCGTACCTCCTCAATTATGCAACCGCTTTTCATGAATTTGGCCCAAGATGACATCTTCACCTTTGACGATACATTTCACAACGATTTTCTTGCGGTGTCTGGCCAGAGCAAGGGGGGTACAGTGAAACTGCCTGGCCAGAAGGAGATGGCTCTTCCCGTGGAGAGAGAGCGGAAACTCCCAGACTGGATGGCCAAACTCGGGGGAGGTACAACGACCGCAAAAGCCATGTCAACACCCACAGAAGCCAGCAGGGGCAGGGGAAGAGGAAGAGGTATGCACATTTCCTGGTTTCTTAATGTGTTTTTTTCCTAGTGGTAGTGGATAAGTATGAGTGGATTAAGTTTGCTTGTTGATGCCATAGTGGAGGATAAGTTATTTTGAAGTTGAAGGTTTAGGAGCCTGAGTACTTTTAAAAGGGATCTTTTTTGGTTAAAGTTTTTAATAGTTAATGGCCTTTCATGCTCTGAGCTTCAGAAGCAAGAAATCATAAGTTATCAAGAAAGCCGAGCAGAGTAGAGTGCTCTTGTGTTCTTAAATGTGCCATATTAGGACAGATAAGTTATTGTTAGGAACAAAACTCTCCCATTCCCACAGGTAGACCAAGGGGGACAAGTACCACTACCGCCTCAGCAACACAGAGAACCGCCACGCCCAAAAGGAGCAAGAAACAGCCCTCGGTCAGCGATGAGGCCAGTGAAGAGGAGTACTCCCTAGCCCTCCAGAGAACACCAAGCAGGGGTCGGGGACGCCCCAGGGGGAAAGGGAGGGGCAAGGCGATGGGCCGTGGGAGGCCCAGACGACATCAGAGTGACGACGACGACGACGATGATGACGATGAAGAAGTCCCGAGTGTTGGCGAGGAGGAAGAGGAGATTGAAGAGGGGCCGAGAAGATGGGGCCACGGGAAGACCAGGGACCAGGCCACGGTCAAGAGGAGGGCCAAGGTGGCCATGGACTACTCGGAGGATTTTGCGGCCAGCGGGGAGGATGAGGAAGAGGAGGAGCTACCGGTGCCGGAGGGGGATGATGGGAGTGACTGGGAGCCCGAGTCTCACAGTCCAAGATTGGTAAGGATGGACACTGATACCCATTACTGTGTGATTCTGGCAAATTACTTGCAGTAACAGATACAGAGCATCGGAATATTTACAGTCTCAAGTAATTTGCTGGCATTGCCTTTTTGGTTAGAAATCCTGTAGGCACATCGCATTTATTGGAATTGTATCATTTTTGGCAGGTGTTTGCTGTACAGAAGTGAAGAAAGTAACTTGTCTTTATTTGAATATTTGCAGTTCCCATTTTGCCTCTCATAAACCAGTTTTCTTTCCTGTTGGAATTAACTGACAAAAGTGAGGAATTTTAGTATCAGGACAACAGATTCAGACACTTCAAACAGTCACCAGCTAGCTAGAGAGATGACAGTGCCTCTGTTTATCACTGCAACATGTGCCCTCTTGCAGATGAGAACATCCTCCAAGGGTAAGAGAACATCGGGGAGGAAGAAGACAGGGGGGCGGAGATACAGCAGACAGAGCTCAGAGGAGGACAGTGATCTAAGTGAAGAGGAAGTCTACATACCGAGGTGTGTGTCGTGTAGTGATCCGGTGATCTTAAATCAGCCGCGTCTGTGTACTTCACATGCCATACACAGACACATCAATAATAATAATGATAATAACTGCATTTCTTAAGCGCCTAGTACAAGTAAGTTTCTAAGCCCTTTACAATGAATGAATAAAACACAAAGATCATAGGCACAATAAAAAATGAACGATGTTAAGAATCAAAGAAATGGTATTTCAAATTAGATTTGAATAATTCTAGAGTTTGTGATTGCCGGACTGAAAGTGGTCGCTCATTCCAACGTTTGGGACTATAAGAGAAAAGGCACGGTCACTGTACTGGGTGAAATGTGTGAATTGTACCATCACATTGATCAACACGAGGAAATTTATGTTTACATGTACCTAGCCCATTGTGGTTTTGGTATCAGTATTTTGTAATTTGTCTTGGCACTCTGAGCCATTAATGCCCGCTGAAGTCCTTGTGCAGAAATTCCAGATGATCGATCTTCACGAAATGTGCTCTGCACATATGGGTGCATGTAAACAAAGTTTAAGTCTGACTGTTGTCCATCATGTAGCCCTTGGCAGTCTTGGTGCATATTTTTCTTGCATTGGTAGTGTTTTTGAGGTGGTGGGTAGGCGTCTTGGTTTCACCACCGCCATGCACAAACCATGAAGGTGTACAAATTTATCGGGGGATTAAATCAAGTCCAATGATTGGTTTCGCAGACCAACCAAGAGGTCTGGGCGGGCCGTCTCCAGCAGCCTGGAGATCGATTCGCAAGACATGCCGAGGAAGAGAACGAAGAAAACAGATAATGGGAAGAAGAGAAGAGAGCCTTGCCGCTACGGCAAGAAATGTTATCGGTGAGTCAGAACATGGGAACAGCAGCTGCCAGATGCGAGATTCCTATTTTTGTGCTAAATTTTCTCAGGAAAGTAATTCACGAGGAGCAAAGTAGCGATGGAATTATCAGTTCTGAGCATGAAACTACATCCCTTTGTAATCAGAAGTTAATTTTTTTGTTAAGGTATTGTAGGAAGTATCCCTTCAGACCATTCATGGTGTGATTCCAATTTTTTTAAACTGCACTCTTAATCCAAACACGCCTCAGCCTTGTAGAGGCAGCAGAAAGCTATGCAGGAAGGAATGCTTCAACCTGAACATTTGTCATGTGATCCTAGCTGTCCAGTCTCCTAATGTCTGATGATCGGTATGACTGTGAATGATTACTTTTTTCACACCGATCAATCTTTTTAAAAAAATGCATATATATATTGTTCTTCATTGTTTTGTGACAGGAAAAATCCCCTTCATAAAGAAGAATTTGCCCACCCAGGGGATTCTGACTGTGAGTCTGCAAAGTCTGACGATGGTGACGATGACGATGACGGTGACGAAAAAGAGGAATGCCCACATGGAACAACCTGCTACAGGTCAGCATCAGTATCTCATCTACCTACTTGTCTTGTCCTGAGGACAGGCAAAATGACTCAGGACTGGTAGTTTCTGCTTGTACAAAATTCACAGTTTCCTAGTTACTTCACAGATCTTTTAACACTGGTAAATAAAATATGCCACCGCTGTTTCTTGTGAAACAGCTTTTTTTTGTACACTGTCCTATCGACCATTTGCTAAAACAAGGTATCCTTCTTTTTAACTCTCAATGAGGAGTAGATGTCCTAGATCTCTGCACATAATGATCACGGAGGGTAGTTTCTAAAGATCATTTAGCATCGCTAACAAAAAGTAGCATCGCCGAAAATGACCACATTAAAGTCATGTCATTAAATGTGAGTGCTTTAATGTTTATTCTTCCATAGGAAAAACAAGAGGCACTTAGAACAATACAAACATACCAAGGCACCCGGCCGGCCAAAGAGGCAAGCTGCCAGGAAAAGAGGTACATACATTTGATTATTGACCTCTGAATAATTTGGAGAAATCAAAAGAAACCCTTTAATGATTTGGGTATAATTCCCATTCAGGCCGCCAGGTTTGGCCAGGCTTCTTTGACAGTGCTTTCCTTTGCCCTCTCTAGCTGTGTGTATGAGGCGGCCCCAGTTGGAGGAACGTATCAAGGAGGATGGGGGAGGGAGTAATCATAATCTGGCTGTATTTGGATTTTAAATTTTCAATCGTTCATACCGCTTCTACAAACTCCTGTGTTCATGTGAACTTCCTAGGAATCTGCTTTATCAAGGATTTGCCCTAGTTAGGATTTGCCTGCGATAGGATTTGCCCATGATTCCTTTGGGATGTCTGCTTATTTTGTTACTGGTGGTGAGGTACATGTAAGGGGTCTAGTCCCGCACAGCATTCTTCATCCAAATGCGAAATGGTTTGTGGAGAAATCAAGGGAAAGGTTCGTCAAGTCCGTGTTTTTTTCACTGCAACCCCCCTTCTTCGAGGTAATGTGCTTGTAGATCAAAATCCCACTTGTTAAAAAACAATGATACTGTAGCACATATTTCAACCCATATTGTCACTTTAAAAGTTAATCCTTGGTCAAAGCTTGAGGTTTCCAAATGAGCTTTTTTTGAACTCCCGTTGTTTCTGCCTCCCCCCCAATTTTTTTGTCAAAGTTTTGGAGGGCTCTCTGTAATGGTCCTTTTTTGTGTTACCACTGAATCTAGCAACCCTTGCTGATGGAGATAGTGACGATGAGGGTGAGGTGAACACCTACGACTACGATGACAGCTTCATTGACGATGGAACCCAAGGCATGGGCAAAGCCTCCGATTCAGAGTCGGAGGACTGGACCCCAGGAGGGAAGGATGAAGACGACTGAATTGCAGGTGCATATTCACGACCAGGATATGAAGACAGTGTAGATTAAATCAAAAAGCTACAGATGTACAGTACAGTTACAGTACATGCACCAGGACCCCAGTGTGGAGGATTTTTTTTTTAGGAGTGGGGTGGAGGAAACGAAGCTTAAAGCATTTTAATGCACGGTTAATTTGACAAGAGCATTTGGCGACAAATGATCACTGGGTAGTGCTGTCTGCTTAAAGGGAGCCAAAGCATTTGGCAAAGAATTTGTTTGGTGTTTCCTTCCCACTAGGAAACACTCCTTTCAATATAACTGCCTATGACTTTGTTTCCTGAAATTTTCTATTTTGCTGTAAAAAAAGTTTATAATATGCATCACTTGTGCAAAATTTGTATGCAAAGCAATTAAAATAAGTGTTTAATTTGAAAATCATGATGATTATTTGCTCATCATTATGCATGGAAATTTTAGTGAAGGTTAAGCCAGTCCACTAAGCCTTGCCACTGCGAGCAGCACCACCACTGTCTCTGCCATGCCACTCTGCATGCTACACATGCTCACATGGATAAGCGATTGTTTACTGTTGGTCATTGTTTGTTTGTGTTGGGGGGGGGAAGTGAACTTGGGGCCTTTGCTTGCTCGGAGAGTTCAAAGGAATGGAAGTTGCCGTAAAGGATTTCCTCAACCTTGAGAAAATTTCCCTCAGACTCCCAGAGAGCACGATTATTGGGATGGGGTCTTTTTTGAACCACAGGCTGGAGTCACAGCTGTGATTGGTGTTAAGCTGGGGCTTAATGGATTGATCTATTGTACATATTCAACTCGGATCAACTGGGAAAGCATTTAATCTGAGTAAATTTTAATCATGTATGACAGATTATATATAATACTGTCTGCTACAGGTGTATTGTAATGTCTCTCAAGCTAGTTTGCTTTTTATAAGCCTATGCACCTTTCTCGTTTTTAATGCCTCAAATTTGTTTTAAATGCTAAAACATCATGATTTGTGCAAACTCGTGATCCTTCTTACTTTGTGCTTTTTATTTTGTCAAGATTTGACTTTTTTTTCATTATCCAGTCCAAAGCTCTTAGAGAAATGTTTGGAACAATTCTGAAATGCACAGTGATGCTTTCCGACAGTTAACTTGATGGTTAAAAGGGAATGATTCACAACTAGGGGAATCCCCACGATATACTTCTGGATTGTGGCTCGACTACGGAAACAGTGCAACTTTTCAGGCTTCTATGCTTCAAAAAATGTGGACATCCAGTGTCCGATATTGAAATGAATCGACCAACAAAAGAATGGTGCCACCCTGGTATCCTATGTTGTTACGAAGGGGGGGGGGGATTTGAAAGATTTAGTTTGGGATAACAGAGCATGAAATTACAGTCGGACATATGCCATTTGCCAACCACATTTTGTATTTGTAGAAATAAAACAGAAGTCAGGCACAGTATCTGAAGGAAATGTGAAATGTAAATGTACAGTGCCCAAATGTGAAATCCTCACAGTGCTTTTCCTGTCTTTTTTTTTGTGTTTACGACATTTACACTATGAAAGCGTATTCCTATGTGACCTTATCCTATCAAAAGTTGGCAATGGCAGAATCCTGAAATTGATCCTGCTAGTATGTTTTGTCCCACCACATTTGGGGCCTCATTTCACACACTCGGGACAAGGTCGGACGGCATGACTTGAGCCGTGCATGACCTCTGTGTAGTGGACTTGTGTGATGTCAGTGTTGGAAATGCAGCGAGCTCTTCCTTTGAGCCTTCTTACAACAGTTACATGTACATGGTATGTGAACTGCTCTTATTCTGCAGACCCAAATGTGCCTATTCAGCATTTCCTACTGCATTCTATCAATTGCATATATGCTTAGCAATAGTTAGATTGCACTTCCTAATGCAGACTGCTTTTCCAAAGTAGATGAATAAGATTCGCTTGTACAAAATGTGTGGTGACTGATGGGTTAAAAGGGAAACAAATGTTAAATATGTACATACAAACTACGTAATGACAGAAAGAGTCCTTATTAATTTACCTTATACACTAGGCAATCGCAAGACAGGTTTTTCTAGACAGGAACCACCCGTCTCTTATTCCGAAGCTTAAATTTTTGTGCAAAGAGCACCCACTTCATACAGCACAGTTGATGCAACAGGTCATGAGTCAATTCATGATATCTGTCAATATTTCATGCACTTGAAAATAAAAGCAAAAGAAAACAAACAAACAAACTGGGAAAAACTGAGCAATTAATCGACGGTGAGCTCGAGCCAATGAAACTGCAAAGGACTAGTTGTTATGTACAGTTGTACAAGCCGGGAATTCTCAGGAGCTGGAAAGTTGTCTTTAACACTTTTAGGTCAGGTTTTTATTCTGTGCCCAGTATTTGTCAGGTTGCACCATTTGCGTGACATGTGGACAAACCAGTACCATGACAAGATATACAGGAAATACATCTACATGTATACGTCATTTAGCAGTTAAACTATCAATAAATGAATTTTGTACCTGTAGATACATGTGGCAGGCATTTGCGCCAGAACAGATTCACCGAAAGTAGTAACCAAGGAAACCATCATTCATTTTGGAAATGCGTGTGTGGGTTTTCGAACCCTCAACGATTATACTTTCTGCCTGGTACATTGGCTTCGGACAGTTGGTCCCACCATCCTAGCTTACAGTGTGCTAGAGAACAAAAAACAACTCAGTAATGTTTAAAGAAGTTCCAAGTCTTGTACAGAAACTAAACTTCTGGATGTGAATCTCATGACTATGGCATTTTGAAATAGTGGCCTAATAAAAATAGTAACTTTTGTCAGCTGTGAAGAGTGCACTGACTCTGTTGTTTGCTTTGAGTAATAGTTCGGTTTTTACATCATGCGTGGGGTTTCAATAATTAAACTCCACCACTGACCCAATGGTTTTCATGCAGTGCATTATAAGAAGGCCAATGCTCTGTGTTGATGTATGTGCCTTTTTATGAACACACAGTCAAGTCCTGAATCCTCATGAGCCTATGGTAGAGGCCCATTAACACAGATCAGAGATGTCAAAAAGTGGTTGCTGTATGGAAAAAGGTATGCCATGTGTCGAGATGTTTTGCAGGTAATATTCAAGCATGTTAACATTTTGAAATATGCAGAGTTCTTGTGCACAAAATACGGCTAAGTACTTGGATGTGAATTTTTTCCACAGCTCATTGGGAAAACTGTACTTCTCACAGTAAGTGCCTAACCACTTGCTGCCGGGGAATGCCGTTTTGAGCAACATGGGTTTATACGCAGAGCCAGGGTGCCCGAAATGGGACAAAAAGAGCTGGTCCGTGTAACAAAGACTGTACTCGGAACAAAAGACCTGCTGCTGGGAATTGCATTGGGGTTGCACTTTTCGAAGGTAATCCGTGACTGGTTTTAAACAGCATACAGCATAGCGCGCCCATGGATTAGCAGCGCGGCCAAAAGAGCTCCAGGGCCTCCATTGACACAGCACCGCTGCATGCTAATCCAGCCGCGTTTGAAAAGATGCCACTCGCATTCACTGGAGACAAAGGAAATTACGCAACACCTCACAATTCTTGGCTCTCTTTACAG